TATATATAATATATAATAATATAATTAAGCAAAAACTATTCAATATTGGACTCATTTCGAAKGTAYTAACGAGACGATTATAATGGTGTAACTTGTTAAAATAAAAATGTATTTTCTAAACATGTTTTAATTGATATACGATTATGTATGTTAATTTGATAAAGGTTTAAATTAAACATTTAAAAATAAATGACATAAAGTAAATTAATTAACTAATTATAGGGGTATAAAGTGTAAAAAGTGAAAAAGTAGTGATGAGAGGAGGGGGTGAAAAAGTGAAAAAGTAGTATAAATGGTCATTTAGTATTTTAAGATTTTAAGACTTTTGCTAAATTTGCTTAATAAGATAGTATAGATAAAAAATAAAAACGTCCCATGTTTTAAGACAAAACGAACATCGATCATTCCGATAGCAAGGAAGTTGTGTATCGTTTTCTATAATTAAGATAAATCGATTGAAAATAAAAATAAAAATAAAAAAGTAATATATATTTTTATTAGATTTGGGGTTTTATTTATATTTAATTTGACTTGTAATGGTTGTTCCTATGCACACTCTGTATGGGCGGCTAACCCAATATTATATAGGACCCGATTTGCAAATAACTATAAAAAAAGTATACTAATCACTGAAGTGAGGTGCCATCCCTCTATACACACCTTTCATAAAATAATTATAATGTAAAATTACAATTCTGTCCATGTGGTGTGGTGTGGTGTGGTGTGGGGAATTTTTTGTTATCGTCCTTGTATATATTTCATTTATTACATGTTAGTCTTTTGAGTTATTATTTTTGTTATAAATATCATTAATGATATCTAATTGGAGGTTGTTAGGTGTCTTCACATATTCTTTACATGGGGTATTTTAGTCTTTTTTAGAATATAACTCTTTCTTGCGAGCCGTACTAGAAGCAACGTGGATGAAAACCTATCGAAAATGTCATTTTTAGGTCATTTTTTCTTCTTCTTAAAATGTAAATACATCATATATGTAAGTTTAATCAAATGCAAACAACTATCTTCTTTCTTCTCAGTGTGTTACAACCATCATATCTTATATGAAAACCCGAAACCCTACTTTTTTTGGTTTATGATTGAAATCCATAATTTAGTGGTAGAATGCTAGCCCTAAAAACATGTGAATAAATTTGGGGATTATAGCCCTAAGTTGTTTGTTTTAGGGGAATTAAAAGGAGACAATTGATAGATGGATTTAGTCATTTGGAGACCAAAAAGATTCATGGTGTTATTCCAGCTCCAATAAACAACTTAGCAGAAGCATAATACTCAAACAATAATGTGATATATTTCAACAGGGGACGACGAAGTGGGATATGAAATCCAAATTATAAATAGATTCAATTGATGAGGATATGATGTAAGCTTCAGTTGGGGTGTAAATTGCCCTTGATAGGGTTTACTCTAAGCGACCATGTGGAAAACCTAATTTATCTCCAAGCCGATAACGCGTATGGTTTCTAGATGGGTTCCCACGAGGAAGGAAATCATAAAGAGTGAAGTTTTTTGGAATTTGTAGGGTGGAGGAGAGGGCAAAGGGGTGGTTGTAGGTTTCACATGACGTAGAATTTTCCAAAGAGAGAAGGAAACAAACACAAATGATAAAACGACACATGTTGGGTTTTTAATATAACAAAAATAATCAACGCTGCAGGACGAATGAAACTAGTAACAAAATACATCATTCAAAGGCAAAATTGTAATAAACAAAGTGGGGGACGAGAACAAAACCATCATACTACAAGGACGAAAACTCTAATTCGCTTAGAAAAAAATAGAGATCAAGAAATTTAATTTACACTGTGCAGGTTGGTTGAACTGAAAGTTTGTCACTATAAATTGTTAATAGAATTGAGTGACATGGGTATAAAAAGTTTAAGCTGGTCCGATTATAGGAGTTCGACAATTGTCATATTGCTTCAGTTTTAAGAGCATCTTCAAAATAAAAAAAGCAGAGATTTTGAAGTTTTTTTTTCCGCCAACGGAATCCTTAAAACATCCTCCAAAAACTAGAAAAGGGAAAGAGAGATGAGAAAATATTTTGGATGAAATTTGGAAGAGAGAGTAGGAATATTCAAAATTAACATTTTAACGAGAAATAGAACCATTAATTATTTTTTTAATTTATTTTAGAGGAGGTAGACAGAGAGGAAAGCAGTGAGAATATAAAGTTATTACTTTATAAAAAGTTTGTTGTTGTATTAATTGTATTGGATATTTTAATAATTTTATACAAAGTTTGTTATGGTATTTAAGTTCTGTTTGGTTCATACAGATGAATAAAATGAGAATGAAAATGACAATGACAGGGGATGAAAATGTGAATGAATTTTCATCCCCTCCAGTTTAATCAGGAATGAAATTTTGGACTTCTGGATGAACACATTATATTATAGAAAACCAAACAATTTCTTTTATTTTCATTCTCATTGATTACTGCTTAATACTTTTAAACAAATACCCCTAATAATTTTATAAAATTTCTGTTGGGGGTGTCAATTTTGGTGGATATTTGATCCAATTAAATTTATAAATTTTAAAATAAATGCAATGTAATTATTTGATCCAATTAAATTGGTGTTTTTATTCTACAAGAAATGAATGCAACTTTATATTTTATTTTATTTATATAATAAAAAAGCATTTAATGTAAGTATTTATTATTTAATTATTGTTATTAGATTATATCTTAAATCAAATATTATATTAATTTAAAAATGTAAACAAAAATGGTAATGTTTGAAAGGATTGAATGCCTGAATTCCACCGAGAGGCCAAACCTTGGATTCAAACCATCTCAAAAATTCCGCCAAAGACACAGATTGGGGCCATCTAGAACATTCTTTTACTTTATTTAACATATTTTCTAAAATAAAAATGAAAATTTTAAAGATTTTTTAAATTTAGAGAACTCTTTAAGATAATTACTATGAAAGAAAAATATTTTTACTAATATTATATTTCATAAATAAATAAAAATAAAAATTAAATATTTAAGATAGATAAATAATATTTTATTAAATAAGTAAATAAAATATTTAGTAATATTTTAAGATACCGTTAGAATTGAGATAAATTTTTTTACGAAAATTTTTAATTTTTAATTCCAGAGGATTTGTTAGAAATATTCTTATAATCTTATTTAATTTTGATAATCTCCAATCGATTTTTTAATAAGTTTTATATAAAATTGAAAAGGAATTTCTTGTAATTACATACAAATTTTAATGCAAAAATTACAAGTAATATAATCCAACAATTTTGGTTTTGGAAGACATTTGTAATTTGTCCATAAATCAAAAGATCCATTTGTCTGTTCTTCTTTGAAGCTTCTTACAACACACACAAAGAGGGAGGGGAGGGGAGGAGAGGAGAGGAGACAGTTCTCACGCCATAGATATAAATTCTTGTTGGAAAACAGTTTCCAATTATTAAATTGACATACATATATATGCATGTATATATCTATGTGTGTGAGAATTGTTGGAATTAAACGAAAACACATATAACCAGGAAACCCCTCTTTGAACAGTCTGTATTTCCTTTTAATTTCGGTTCTTTGTAAGGTTCTTATTTGATGTAAATGGTGGTAATCCAATTGATTCGAAATTGCTTTGTATTAATTGTTGTTGGGTTTGTTTATTCTGTGTTAGTTGGAAATATCGAATTTTTTTTTTAATCAACATATGCGCCTTATTAAAGTCAAAACATGAAAGGGACACAGAAAGAGATCCATCATTTGAGTCTTCGTTCAAACCTTTCGAGCTCTCAGAAAAATCAAATTATAGAACCATCTTCTTCCTCACATTTTCCCTTTCTTGTTCTCCGTGTAAACCCTCATATATATAAACTTTGTATGCATCTTCCCATTGTTAAAAACTTTATTCTTTTCTTTCTTTTTCTCTGTTTCTGATACAAAAGATTGTAGATTTACAAGAAATTTGGAGGATTTTAGACTTCCAGTTTTGTGGGTTGTTTTTTTATCAATTTGTTGTACACTTGCAATCCCTTCATCGTCTCTTTTGATAAATTCTTTTTTCTGGGTTCTACTGATTTTCATATTTAATTACTGGGGTTTTGGGCTTTTCTGCTTGAACCCATTTAGTTTATTCGATTGGGAGGTGTGCAAAGCACCAGTCTCTTGTTTTTCTGAGGGATTCCTCATCTGGGTATGTGTAAAAACAAGTATTCTTGAAACAAGTCGCAGTTGATTTCAGAAATTATCATAGAGCAGAATGAGGACAGGGAGGAAAAAGAGGTTGCATTTTAGCAAGATCTACTCGTTCAAGTGTGGTAAAAATACATTTGATGATGACCATTCACAGATTGGGGGTCCTGGATTCTCAAGAGTGGTTTATTGCAATGAAACTGGTGTGTCAGAGGTTGCAACTCAAAGTTATGCAGATAATTATGTGAGGTCAACCAAGTATACACCAATGACTTTCTTACCAAAATCATTGTTTGAACAGTTTAGAAGAGTTGCCAATTTCTATTTTCTTGTTACTGGTATCATGGCTTTTACACCCCTTGCACCTTACTCTGCTGGTAGTGCTATCCTTCCTCTTATCATTGTCATTGGTGCTACCATGGTCAAAGAAGGTATTGAAGATTGGCAAAGACAACAACAGGTACTTTCATGCTTCTAATTTTCTCCAACTTCTGTTAGATCCATCTCATTTTGAAGTTTAAATCATTAGTTCTTGGTGGGTTTTTATCCATCTTTTCAAGTTTTGGGGGAATCTTTTAGTTGTTGGTGGCTTTTGATTCATCTTTTTCAAGTTTTTTGGGGAAATCTTTAGTTCTTGGTGGCTTTTGATTCATCTTTTGGGGGTTTTGGGTATTTCTGATGGGAGTAATAAGTTTAAATTTCTTGTTGGTTATTTGAGAACTTTTATAGATCTTTAAGGTCGATAGTTGATGGCAGATTCATCAAAGAGAATTGATGTTCTTTCTACCTGTTTATTTTTATTTAATTTCTTCAATTTGATAACTTTTATGCAAAATATCAGCCTAAAAGTCTGTTCTTGAATTGCTTTTCTGCAAATGTTCTGAAATCATGTTATCTTTCACTGTTAGTTGGCTTCGGTTTTCTGATCTGGAATATCGAACCTCTTTTCAGGACCACGAGGTGAATAACCGAAAGGTCAAAGTTCATGGTGGAAGAGGAGTTTTTGAATCTAGAGAGTGGAAAAAACTAAGAGTAGGTGACGTAGTGAAGGTAGAAAAGGACGAATTCTTCCCGGCTGATCTTCTCTTGCTGTCATCGAGCTATGAGGAGGCCGTCTGTTATGTTGAAACAATGAACTTAGATGGGGAAACAAATTTGAAGCTAAAACAATCGTTGGATGCAACTTCTTCAATTAACGATGATTCAAACTTTAACAACTTCAAAGCTACTGTTAAATGTGAAGATCCAAATGCTAGTTTGTATACTTTCGTTGGAACTATGGAGTTTCAAGAACAACAGTATGCACTTTCTCCTCAACAGCTTCTGTTAAGAGATTCGAAGCTCAGAAACACAGATTACATCTATGGCGCTGTTATCTTCACAGGTCATGATACAAAAGTGATTCAGAACTCCACAGATGCACCTTCGAAAAGAAGTGGAATCGAGAGGAGAATGGATAGCATTATCTATTTCTTGTTCTTGATCTTGTTTCTGATTGCTTTTCTGGGTTCCATCTATTTCGGGATTGTAACGAAAGATGATTTAGATGGGGACAGGATGAAACGATGGTATTTGGGACCAGATAGATCGGAGATCTTTTTTGATCCCAAAAGAGCTCCGGTTGCAGCTATATATCACTTCCTCACGGCTTTGATGTTGTATAGCTACTTGATACCAATTTCTTTATACGTTTCAATAGAAATCGTGAAAGTTCTGCAGACGATCTTCATTAACAACGACATTCATATGTACTATGAAGTAGCTGACAAACCAGCCCATGCTCGGACCTCAAATCTAACCGAAGAACTTGGTCAAATCGACACCATTTTATCAGACAAAACCGGAACTTTAACWTGYAACTCAATGGAGTTCATCAARTGTTCTGTGGCAGGCACSGCTTAYGGRCGYSRTGTTACAGAAGTTGAGAGAGCTATGGCCAAACGAACAGGATCGCCATTGATTGTGAATGGTAGAGATCAACTTCTTGATGATGGCAATGATGGTGATTCCACCTTATCTGTCAAAGGCTACAATTTTGAAGATGAAAGAATCACAAATGGCTACTGGATTCATGAGCCACATTCAAATGTGATTCAGAAGTTCTTCCGTTTATTGGCAATCTGTCATACGGCCATACCTGATGTCGATGAAGATACAGGAAAGGTTACATATGAAGCTGAATCGCCAGATGAGGCTGCTTTCGTGATAGCAGCAAGAGAACTTGGCTTCGAGTTCTACAAAAGGACACAAACAACCGTCTCTTTTATGGAGTTAGATCCCATATCCAAGAAAAAAGTCGAAAGGTAAAAACTTTTTCGCCTTTTTCTTGTTTTGGGCAAATTTTAGTAGCAAACCTGAAATGGGTTTTGGTTAAATTAACCTTTTTATCGTTCGTTTGCAGGACGTTTGAACTTTTGAACGTTTTAGAGTTTAACAGCGCTCGAAAGCGAATGTCTGTTATCGTCAGGGACGAGGATGGCAAACTACTTCTACTCTGTAAAGGGGCCGACAGGTTAGTAAAATATGCGATAAATCAATCTTTATTTCTATTAACGGGCATCTCTGTTTGTTTCCAACGTTCTCTTTTGGGTTGTGTTCAGTGTTATGTTCGATAGACTTGCCAAAAATGGAAGGCAGTTTGAAGAGAATACGAAAGCACATGTGCATGATTACGCTGATGCAGGTTTACGGACCTTAATACTAGCGTATCGTGAACTTGCTGAGGATGAATACAAGGAATTCAACAAAAAGTTCATAGAAGCCAAGAACTCGGTAAGTGCAGACCGAGATGATTTGATTGATGAAACAACCGAAGAAATCGAAAAAGATTTGATACTTCTCGGTGCCACTGCTGTTGAGGACAAACTCCAAAAAGGGGTGAGTTTTTCTTAATTCAAGAACTTCATATTCGGATTTAGATGTTGAATCGTTTTCGCCTGAGTGGTTTTTAACGCGATTTTTGCGTTCTTTTCGATTTTTCCAGGTACCAGAATGCATTGACAAACTTGCTCAAGCAGGAATCAAGATATGGGTTCTCACCGGTGATAAGATGGAAACCGCAATCAATGTTGGGTAAGTTTTCCTATGTTTGACGACCATAAGCTAGCTTATTTTTTGAGCTTACTGAAAATGACCGTTCGGTTAAGCTATTCTTTTGAAAAACTACTTCAAGTAGCGTTTCAATAAGCCCCAAGGTTTTTTTTTTCCTACTTTACACTGTCATCTAGCTTATTAGCTGGTTTTTACCGAAGATAACTAGTTTATCAACTAACAACTAGCTTTTCAACTATCAGCTATCGTGTCAGTTAGTTGCAAAACATACCATTTGTCTTTTTTCTCTTTGTTGTTTAAGTAATCCCGTTTGTTCTTTTCTTGATTCGAGTTATACGTATATGTCTGGTTGTATCTAACATTCAAAAATCAAACATTTTGCAGCTTTGCGTGTAGTTTGCTTAGACAAGGAATGAAACAGATTATAGTCACCTTGGAGTCACCAGAAATCATAGCAGCGGAAAAAGCCGGGGAGAAAAATGTAATTGCAAAGGTGAGCATGCGTTTGTTTGTTCTGCTTCTGTTGTTACTTCAGTATAAGTTTTTCCCGGAAATGACAAATTTGCCCTTGCAGGTTTCGAAAGACAGCGTCAAGAAGCAGATAATAGCAGGGAAGGCTCAGCTTGATGCTTCGTCTTCTGATCCATATGCTTTGATCATCGATGGAAAATCTTTGGCATACGCTTTGCACGATGACATTAAGAACACGTTTTTGGATCTCGCTGTTGGCTGTGCGTCCGTTATTTGCTGTCGTTCTTCGCCAAAACAGAAAGCGCTGGTTAGTTTTTCGTTCGTTTCATTTCCATTGGTTTTTTCCAAGATAAAAGATCAAACTAGAAACTAAAGCATAAACGACACACAGGTTACAAGACTTGTTAAAGAGGGAACCGGGAAAACAACTTTAGCGATCGGTGATGGGGCAAACGATGTCGGAATGCTTCAAGAAGCTGATATCGGCATCGGGATTAGTGGCGTTGAGGGAATGCAGGTACTTATCATATATTTACCCTCTTCTATAATGATCGTACTTACATAGAACTCATAAAGGCCATTTTGACCGCTATAAGCTAGCTTATTGAAAAGCCCTTGATTGGTTTAGCTAGTTTGCTTAACATGGCCGAAAGCACTTCATTTAATCATAGTTACACTTTGTTTTTTAGATACATGGATGTTTTCTAAACAGTTTCTATTTGGTGAATAGGCGGTTATGTCAAGCGATATCGCAATTGCTCAGTTTCGGTTTCTGGAACGCTTGCTATTGGTTCACGGACATTGGTGTTACCGAAGAATTTCTTCAATGGTAAGGCACTATTTTTACTTGTTTTTAGCACATGGATTTGCTCGATAGCATGATCGAATAACACCCTTTTTTGCTATGTTTGTAGATATGCTACTTTTTCTATAAGAATATTGCGTTCGGAACCACAGTATTCTTATATGAAGCGTATGCATCATTCTCGGGTCAACCTGCATATAATGATTGGTATTTATCGCTTTACAATGTGTTCTTCACATCACTTCCAGCCATTGCATTGGGTGTTTTCGACCAGGATGTATCTGCACGATTTTGTCTCAAGGTATGCCGTATGCCCAAACGCCCTTCTAGTCGTTGAATCTGCACCAATTTTCTTTCAATTTTATTGCCTATGAATCAAACAGTCATACTTCATTTTACGCGAAATCATTAAAATAGCATAACATTTATCAAACCGTCTTTTTCATTCTGCACTAAATCATACCGAGCCTCTTATCTCCTGCACGATATCATCAACATCAAGAAGGGCATTACTGTCATTTCACACCGATTAATCGGATGCTAATAAGCTGCTTTTTTCGATGACAGTTCCCTTTACTATACCAAGAAGGTGTTCAAAACACCCTCTTCAGATGGCGTCGGATATTTGGCTGGATGCTCAACGGGCTAGCCAGCGGCGTAATCATCTTTTTCCTCTGCATAAGAGCGTTAGACCCCGAGTCATACCGAAAGAACGGAAAAACCGCAGGGATGGAAGTCGTGGGGGCCACAATCTACACATGTGTCGTGTGGGTCGTCAACTGCCAAATGGCACTTGCGGTCAGCTACTTCACCTTAATCCAACACATCTTCATCTGGGGCGGAATCGTCCTTTGGTACATCTTTCTCTTGGCATACGGTGCAATGCCCGTAAACCTTTCAACAACCGCCTACAAAGTGTTTGTAGAAACACTCGCACCCGCACCGTCGTATTGGTTCGTGACCATTTTCGTGGTGATAGCTGCATTGATTCCTTACTACAGCTATAAAGCGGTTCAGATGAGATTCTTCCCGGCTTACCATGGAATGATACAATGGATCAGATACGAAGGTAACACCGATGATCCAGAGTATGTTAACATGGTGCGACAACGGTCGATACGGACAACGACGGTCGGGTTCACGGCTCGGTCGATAGCAAGAGACAACAACTTGTATCACTTGAACTTGGAGCGACAAGCGCCGGCTAGATGATGGTCGCATAAGCAGTGTTGTTGTATTGTGGTTGTTGTACAGAAGCCGGATGGCGTAAACTACAAGATTTTGGTAGAAATTTATAATTCTTTAATTATTAACAAGATAAGATAATGGTGGAGCAATTTCCTTGTGAAGTTTTGTTGTAAATTTGGGAAGTTGTGTATAGATTTTGAAGAAAAGAATCATCATCTTTTACCATCTTCAACCTCTCTTTTTTTTTTTTTTTTTTTCCAAATTTCTACTTGTTCGGTATCTTGTCTGACATGGTGTAAACAAAGCGATCTAAACTAGGGGTACTTGATGACCCCGATGCGAATCCGGAGCAATCCGATGTCTAATCGAATCGTAAAAGTTTCAAACGGTAGATATTGGATTGGAATTGAGTTATGGTCATTTGAATCCAATCCAACACAACCCGATGAAGCACCCTTAATCTAAACATCACTCGTTTTTACAACTTCCAACTTTCTTCTTTGTGCTAGTCTAAATAAGGAGCTGTTTACAAAGCTTACTAGGTAAATGCTTACCAACAAGAGCACCATCCTTATTTCTCTTATTGAGTAGCATTCTTTGCCATCAAACGGTAAATTAGTAAATTGTGTTGATTATTCAATTTACTTTAATTAGTTAAATTATTTTAATATATGTATATATATATATATATATATACACAGAGACACAATGGGACCAAATCCGATGGACATTCTCCGGCAACCAGCACCACTCCTCCGGTCACCTAATATATATCAATTACCTAACAATATAAAGGAGATACGTATGTATAGAAACGGAGCTGAGGCCATATGAAAAAGAATTTATTTAAGATTGTTATTCTCCTTACATTTCTTCTTCTCCTTCTCCTTCAATGATACACATAAAAGATCCTATAGAATTAACCTTATAATTAATAAGCAAAAAGTAGCTATACAGATTAAGATGATTAATTGACCTTCTTGAGATCATGTAAACCCATCCACATCCTATATATATATATATGTTCATCATCAATCCTCAAGAACAACCACATGATTCGTTTCATTGCATCGCTGCTAGGAGATCTTTATTCCAAGGAATTCCGATGCCGGCATCCCTAGAATGGCTGTAAATTCATGAAAACTAATGATTCCGTCACCATTGGTGTCTATATCGTTCATGAGGTCATTGAGTTCACGGTAGGTCAAAGGCAAGCCCATTTTGGCCATCTGACCCGCAAGTTCCGCCGGCGTGATGGACCCATCACCATCTTTGTCAAACAACTGAAAGACCTTCATGAGTTGATCTTGGTTGACGAAAACCTCCTCGTCGAAATCGGGCAAAATGGCATTCAGCAATTCCTCAAACTCAATGGATCCGTTTCCATTTGCATCCATTTTAGCTAAGACGGCATCGAATTCGTCACCGACGGGTATGAGGCCAACGGATCGGAAAAGGGCGGCTAGCTCGAGCTGGGTAAGGCTGCCATCGGAGTCGAGGTCGAAGCGGGTGAAAATGTCTTTTAGGAGGTTGACTTGGTTGGCGGATGGAAGCTGAGCCATGACGAGACCACCCTGCAGATCGATCGAGATAATATCAGATGAGAAGCTGAGCCATGACGAGACCACCCTGCAGATCGATCGA